CTAATACTGCTAGATCATTCACTTTTTAATGTTAACATCGAAAAATTGAAGAGAAAGACGATGTAAGACAAAGTGTCAAAAAAATGAAAGAAAGATATTCTCGAAACTGAAACTAGAAACATAAAAAAAGAAGTCAACTGTTATTTAGAAATTATTTTGATTGAGATATAAAAGCAATAAGACTCCTAAATACTAAGATTATGTATGCGGTACTATCAATACATAAAACAGAAAACTATGAAAGAAGTGTAAGAGTCAGACTTTCTCGACAACAGATGCCGTTTTGTATCATAAGATGAATCGATGTTTGCACGACATCTTTGTAATAGGAAAAAGAAAGAGATGACTTCGGAATGATTATCATATTTTTACGATATATTAAGTGATAGATTGGTGGCTATTGAAACCCACTTCCTCAATGAAAGAGCAAGGCTTCTTGATTACAAAAAGTTTTCGGTATAAAATAGCAGCGGAACAGTTTACTATTGAATATAGTGAATACAGAAAGATTGTTGCACTATTTGCCAACATTTAGCTTCATGATAAAATCATAAATAGAATAAAACGGAAGCAGAATATTTCAATTTTATGCAAATTAATATTTTGCAGAAAGAAAATATTCAATTTCTTTAAGTTTAAACGTCATTTATACTGAATGAAATATTGACAAAAAAAAACAAATCTCATATTCTGTAGTCACTATTTTACTCTCTCTTTTTTTAAATTTTTTTACGACGTTAAATGCTGTTGTTTTCTTTCGTTGATACCTACCCAGGACGAGCAATCCGACAGTCGGATTCCGTCGGATCTTGCCAGAAAAATTATCGGATCGGACAGGGATTCATCGGAATTTGTTGGGATCCTTGGTACAAGATTCCGACAGGAAGTTGTCGGATGTCGGAAGGGACTCAAGTCCTGTCGGAACCCTGAAAATTCGACACTTTCCAACGTCCGATAACTTCCTGTTGGAATCCTGTACCAAGGATTCCGACAACTTCCGACGAATTCACATCGGATCCAATGGGATGAGTTCGACCTGGGTAGCTTTTTTTTATAGCAAAAAGCGAACTGTGGACACTTGAATTTGAAAAAACAAATTACCTTTGACGATTTTTGTCGATACAAAATACATCACGAAATATTATTGACTGTTGTGAGAAAGAATTAAATGGTATTGCAATCTGATTCGATGGTAGTACTACCATTAGATACACTTAAGTTTGTTGATGTCGGATACGATGATTGGTTTTTTCTAAGAGACTCGTCGGTGACGAGCGCAGAGCAAAAACTGCTCCAGACCATGAAATCAGCTAACATCGGACAAATCTATTAGGGACACACTTGGTTCGAGTCAGAGTGCTTCCAATGTTACCTGGTACATACAGCAGTGTCCGAATTTTTTAGAATCTGAACTCTTGAGAAACTCTAAATTCAAAGATCAATAAAAAATACAACCAAAGAAACTCACAGAACTCACGAAATCCAAGGAACTCATAGAACCCAAGAAATTCAGAGAAATCGAAGAATCCAAGGAATTCGCAGAACCCGAGGAACTCAAGCAACTGAAGAAACCCAAGTAACCCACATAATCTTGACAGTAAGGGTGAGGGCTATGTCTAAAGTACATAAATACTCTTTCGGCCATTGCTGGAAGTCTATGTCGAGAGTCAGTATGGCGATATTAATATTATCCAGAAAATCACCTATGTCTAGCAATCTGTAAGCCAGATGTTAATTCCAGCACAGATGCTGCCGACACATTTGTTTTGATTAAATTGTGTGGGATCGATGGTTAAAATGAAGGCAAGGATGTAAGCGACAGTGAGGACAAAGGAAAGGGTGAGGATAAGGATATTGTCGGGATCCACTTGCAGTACGCCTTCAATGCATTGAGACAACAGGATGTTGTCAGAAGCCGCCGATAGAGAGAAAATATGGTGGAGAAGGTTGTGGGTATGGGTGTGGGTGTGACTTAAGAGAGCCCACACCCTATATCACCACAACTGATATCTTTCGATTTATCATTTTTTGCTATATGTGACATTCGTTCAACCGTTTATATATTACGTTGTATGCCTAATCTTATTCATTTTAAGTTTCTTCATGGAATACGAGTAGTTGCCTTGTCATTTGTTAATGATTTGGTCAATGGTTATACGTGGCAACATATATTTGAAATGCATACTCCATTTTTATGTAAATTTGATTTTCATATCTCAATCGAGAAAAACTATCCAAAATTAGATTTAGACATGATCGTAAATTCATTTCAATATTTCCTTAAAAAATATCCCAAATGGCACCTGATTATTGATCGATGGACACCTGAGGCCATAGATCTACGTGATGACAGAGATACACGTAAGTAAAATTGCTTCAAATAGGGAAGAACGAATATAGAAAACTCGGCATCAAATAGAAATTTAATTAGAAGAGTGGATGTAGGTGTGAGTTATCTGGTCATCAACACCCACACCCTCGCATGTTGTGTAATCACTTTTTGGTGATTTTTGCACCTCCTTCCTTTTATCATCACTTTTCTTTTTTTTCTATCAAACTTCATTTGTGTATAATATCATCACAAAATATTTGATGATGTTTTGTTAATTTGTCTTTATGAGATTTTTTCACGATGTCATCATTTTGATTAAATCCTACTCACTTCTTTTTTCATCACTCGTCTCTTTTTGACTATCCCTTCTTTCTACCTCGTGATATATAAGAAAGACACCGTATGAATGAGAAACTTAAATATGCAGCCTTTTTAATGTTTTCCCTGATTTCATGGCAACATTTTTGCTTCTGAATGATTTCATGATGAACAAGGATATTGCGATCGAGAAATGACTCCATTGTTGAATGATTTCCGGTTTTTCTCATCAGATATCCTAACATTTTTTGTTTTCTATTCCCAATTTCTCAAAAATAACCGGTTGCTCTCCTCACCATCAATAAAGTTGACTCCCATCGAATTCGGACTGTTTCGGAACATTCATATCATTGAAATAATATAATACCTGTCAAGTTAAAAGTAGATGACAATTAAGGATACGTTAGTCAGTGAAGAAGAGATTTCTATTATTAGATCTTTAATTCCTAAGTTAATAATCTTTATGAAAAGATCTCCTGTCGCAGAATATTTAATATCGCACGCTCCACGTCCCCTTTCCTTGAGTTTTTAAAATATTCTTAACAATTAAGATCGTGGTAAAGATTAGTGAGAAATGACTGAGACTCGTATAACGTGGTATTAGAACCATTAGTCAGATTCAATATTTCGTCATAAGTAACATCTTATATTGTGCCGATGGACATATTATCTTATGTGATATCTTTTCTTTCTCACTGTGTCACTATACAATCAGTGACATGTGGTGTTCATAATCGCGTTACTGTTACGTTCATCTATGCATGATTGAACCGTCTTCTCTCTCTGCCGTAATGAACATCTCATTCTATATCATCATTCACTCGTATATAATATGTATTGTTCTCACCTATCTATTCTTATGCTGTGTTCTTACTCTATTGTTCTTCTATATGTGTTCTCTTCTTGATCTTATTACCTTTTCATTCTTACATTGTTCTCGTCTTGACCTCATATTCTTTCCTTTCATCCTTTCTTATTCTACTCCTGTATATAAGCGTGTGCTTTATATGTAAACGATACGATTGTATGATGTGGGGGAATAGAATAAAGTGTATCACCAATCACACTGACATCCTTTGTATCATTGATCGTCACAAGACGATTATATGATATGAAGGAATAGAATAAAGTGTAACTCCATCAACACTAACATTTCTTCTATCATTTTTCGTCACATATACAACATCGATTAATAAGAAAATCAAGAATGTATCATCATAGAGAAGTCTTATGATTTCACTCTCTTTTGAAGAATAAACATGTTACAACGCTGTTCTCAATGATAGGACATTGATTTTAAAAAAATCACATTATAATTTCTCCTCTCTTCTCAAGATAGCAAGAAAGATCTCTTAAAGTAAAGAAGAAAGCGACGATATCATCTTCGATTATCAGAGATCTATCTTTCTATTTTCGACGATAGATCAAACTCAAAAACAGATCATTCGAAAGTCAATGTTCGATTATTAGTAAGAGATCGGAAATAAATTTATTCTCCGAAGAAGGAAGAAGTTATACCATTTCTCGATGTTCGTGTACTCTAGTTTTGATTTTTTGAAATGATTAATATTACATGCAGACTATGATTGATTGATGAAGATGTAATCTTATTATTGGAAATACCGAGTTCAAATAAATGTTGTTAGACAACTGAATAAACTATTGATTTATCAAATGTATTTAACCGCTTTTGATATGAATGGATTGTGAACAGTCAAAAATGTCCATAGTTTCGACTTTTCACACATGGTTTGTATCAACGCGTAAAACTGATCATTGCTAGAATGAATTAAAACGAGGCGCATTAAAGCGATGCGCACACAGTCAAAAATGTCCAAAAATTAGCGTTTTAACACGTTAATCTGTACAACTAGAGGTCTAAGTTAATGACCAGATTGGCGACGATGGCTCCAAATTTCAAAACTTTTTTTCACTTATCGACTACGGCAGCTGCTCAGCCAATCGGCTTACACCTCTATGTACAATGCGAAGAAATATTTTTCTGAAAAACGTAATAATGAGATTGAAATGTACCGAAAAGGCAACTATTAAAACGCCAAATTTCGGACATTTTTGACAGTGTAGAATGAGTTAAAAGGAAAAAAAGTAAAATTTATTGGAATGCGTTAATTTTACTTATCGAAGTTTTTATAGAAATCTTTGATTATTTCACAGAGGACGAAATTAAGACAAAAAAGGTCACTCCTACTAATAAAGAATTGATATGATGATATAAAATATTAGACCACACAATTTTGTAAATGTTTTCTTATCTCTTTTTTTTGTGCTTTTATCAGTAACACGCATATTCTAGCCTTTATTGTCAATCTATTTGTGCAGAAGCAAAAAAATGACTGATGAGAATGAAGGCGATGCTATTCTGAGTACAGCGTCACTCATCAATTCAAATGACAAAGATCAAACAACATCAGGTGTTCGAACTAATAGCATCATTATTGTCGATCCTGATACATCTGTCTGTTCCGTTGTTCAATCAATCAATAACGATGACAACAATAATAATAATGATGATACACCGCCAGTATTTTCGATTCGAACAATTTACAAAAATTTGTTGACTCTCTCATTGGCCTTTGTACTATTATTCATAGCCTACAATGGCATAACAGTACTTCAATCAAGTTTAAATACAAAACACAACGTTGGTATCAACTCCCTTATTATCAGTAATGCTTGTGTAATTGTGAGGACACATGATTTGATAAGGAAAAAAAAGGATAATTCTTGTTTCTCTTTCTCTTTCACTCTCTTTTTCTCAGTTTAGCTCCATCTTTCTTACTGGTATTTCAATAAATATTTTTGGACTTAAATGGAGTATTATTCTTGCCGAAGCTGGTTATGTTTCTTATGTTGCAGCCAATATTTATCCTCTACCTTCACTCATGTATATCAGTAAGTCTTATTTTGAATAGAAATTTCTACTAAATTGATTAATTTTTATTTTGTTTTAGGTGCAGCTCTGGTTGGTCTTGCTGCTGGTCCATTGTGGACAGCTAAAGCGACCTATCTCAATCGAATTGCTAACTATCATGCACAGCATAAGCATCAAAGAGTTGAAGTGTCTGTTAGCTTATTTTTTGGTATATTTTTTGGTTTCCTTGGTACAAGTACCATTTGGGGTAATATCATTTCGTACTTTGTACTCAATCAATCAAATTATCCACAGAAAGTTAATTGTGGTATCTATTTCGATCCACGATCATCTATATCCACTAATATAACTGGAGATATCAATGAGATAACAGTAAGATACGTTTTATTTTATAAAAAAATAAATCAAACACATGTCCGTTATTGTACATTGAAGCGTTATATTCTATGTGGAACATTCACTGGAATGGGTATCCTCTCGATGGTACTTCCATTTTTGATACTCGATCAAGTTGAACTTTCTAAACGACGTAAGTGATCTTTATTTGTCATGAGGAGAATTAGTGATTGATAGAATTTTGTTTAATAGAGCCCGTTGTACAATCATTGAAGATGGGTTTTGACGTATTAAAATCATTGATTCGATGGAAATATGTTGGACAATTTAATCTTACTCCACTGGCAATGTGGACTCAGATACAGAGTGGCTTTCTCACAGCTCAGGTTACACGGGTAGGAATCGAATTGAATTATCAATTTTTAAGTTTCATTTTATTTACAAATGATGTTATCACTTTTTCGTAGTTGTTGAGCTTCTCATCTTCCATGTCATTAGGTACTATTTTTGGCTTCTATCACATGAATTTAAGATAGTTGCTTGTAGACAGATCTCGAAACGAGACATCCGACCTAACCTAGCCTGAAGTTTGACGTTGACTTTGACATTAATAAGTATCGATGTCACTTGAAATTGTCTACATGAATGTCTAATATGAGAAGAACACATATGATTAAATTCTAGTTAGTTAAAATTCAATTATCACTCTAAAACAAATATATAAGTAACATTATCGGGAGAAATTTTACTGTTTATTTAAAGATGATAGAAATTAATGCGCAATTTCTGAGACATGTGGCTGCGTTGAAAGAGAATTTAGTTTTAATGATCTTCTAATCAACAAACAAAACTCGTCTTTGTATTTAATGATGATCTTCTCTGTGTATTTGTATACAGGATATCTGAAAAGTAACATCCTATTTTTCATCGATCATTACTTTAAAAAGATCACAAATAACATAATATTTTATTTACTATATTGAAGTGTATAATATTGTATTTTACAAAAATTTTCTCCCATAAAAATTCTGCTTCATTGTTAAAAGTGAACAGACATGAAAACATTTTGTGAAGTGTTCTGCAGAGTATTGAAACAATTAATCAAACCTATCTTCTCTCAGATTTCGATTATTCTTTGAATCAGAAGTCTCAATTTTTAATACAAATTCTATTTTAGAAATGTGAGCGAGTCTGAACAAAGCGGATTCGATCACCTGAATCTAAAGAAACGCATGTTGTATTAAAACAGTTTTATGTCTAAGATACATAAGTAGTTAAAGAACGAACATAATGACTCATTCAATCTACTGTTATTTTACCTCATTATATAGTCTCTCAATGTAGCTACCTTTATTTTTGAGTAATCAATCTCAGACTCAAATGATCTCCAACACAACATAAGTTTTCTTTAAGATCAAGCGAAGCATTTGAAACTGGATTTGTTTCGCTATCTCTCATTTCTGGACAAGTATCCAAATAAAAAATTTCACACTTGTTAACTAAAAAATGGTTGACATCTCAGAGAAGATACTTTTAACAAGTAGTGTTAATATAATTTAAATCAATACACCAAAGGTGTTTATGTGTGTTCATTTTTAAGAACACTCTATTTCCTTATGAATCTTGAATTTTTTGTTGATTCTGCTATCATTTGAATAGTTCTTCTTATGAAAGGAGGAGGGGCGATAAGGCCATTTTTCAACCCCAGATATTTTCA